TCCCCCCTCAGGGACCCTTTGCTGCTCTGAAGTTACATATATAAAATGTATTTTTTTTCCTTTCTTCCGATGACTTCATTCCCAGGCATCATTGATTGGTTTCCCTGTGGTCATCACACTGTCCATATTTTGTCCTGTCAGCATATTCCTTTGTTTCCCAAACCCATCACATGCACACATCTTAATTTGGTTATTTATTCATAGATTGTAGAATCAGAAGGGACCACAAAGGATCATTGTGTCCAACCCCTCCGCCCCAGGCAGGAAAGAGGACTGAGGTCAGATGACACCAGCCAGGTGCCTATCTAGCCTTCTCTTGAAGATCTCCAAGCTAGGTGATAGTACCACCTGTCTTGGCAGCTTGTTCCAGATTCTGGCCACCCTTACTGTGAAAAATGTCTTCCTAATGTCTAACCTGAATCTACTCTCCACTAGTTTGTATCCATTATTCCTAGTTACTCCTAGGGGTGCCCTGGTAAATAGCTCATCTCCAATTCTCTGTTGTCTTCCCTTAATAAACTTATAGGTGACTACAAGGTCTTCCCTCAGACGTCTCTTGTAAAGGCTGAAGAGATCCAGATCCCTCAATCTCCCCTCGTAGGGTCTTGCATGGAGGCCACTAATCATGCGAGTGGCCCTCCTCTGAACTCTCTCCAGATTCTCCGCATCCCTCTTGAGGTGCGTCGCCCAAAACTGAACGCAGTACTCCAACTGCGGCTTGACTGGTGCCACATAGAGGGGGAGCATCACCTCCCTCGATCTGTTGGTCATGCATCTGCTAATGCGTGATAAGGTGCGATTGGCTTTGTTGATGGCTTCGTTACACTGCTGGCTCATGTTCATCTTGGAGTCAACTATGACTCCAAGATCCCTTTCAGCCGCTGAGCTGCTGAAGAGGTCAACCCCCAGCCTATAGGTGTGCTGGGGATTCCTCCTCCCTAGGTGGAGTACCTTGCATTTGTCTTTGTTGAATTGCATCCCGTTTCGTTCTGCCCATTGATCCAACCTGTCCAGATTGGCCTGTATCTGCTCCCTGCCCTCCTGTTTGTTAACTAGGATCTGGAACCAACTTTCAAGGGAAGTGGTGCTTGCTCCTACCCTGGGGGTCTTCAAAAGGAGGCTAGATAATCACCTAGACAGGGTCATTTGACCCCTGCCTTCTTTCCTGCCCATGGCAAGGGGTGGGTCTTGACTATCTGCTCGGGTCCCTTCCAACCCTACCAGCTATGAAACTTTGCCCCATAACTTGGTGTCATCTGTGAAATTGGACAGGGTGCTCTCCACACCCTCGTCCAAATTGCTGATGAAGATATTAAATAACACTGGTCCAAGGACAAAACCCTGCAGGACACCACTGCCCACCTCCTTCCAGGCCCCAAAATGACCTATCCACCACCACTCTCTGGGTGCAGTCCCTAAGCCAGTTGGACAACCACCTGATTGTGTAAACATCCACTCCACAGCCTGCTAGCTTCCTTATGAGAACAGGATGCAAAACTGTATCAAAGGCCTTCTTAAAGTCCAGGTAGATGACATCTGCCTCAGCTCCTGTGTCGAGGCAATGTGTGACCTGGTTGTAAAAGGCTATAAGGTTTGTCAGGCAGGATCTACCTGTGACAAGCCCATGCTGGTTTCCTTTCAGCATCATTTACAACCAGGTCACACACTGCATTGACATAGGAGCTGAGGCAGATGTCATCTGCCCTTCTTAAAAATAGGCACCACGTTGGCCCTTTTCTAGTCCTCAGGGACCTGGCCAGAGCACCATGAGCGCTCAAACAGCCCTGCCAGCAGCTCAGCTATGACACTGGACAATTAAGACATTTACCATTGTCTTAATTTGGATGTGCCCCAGCCTTCTAATTTGGTCTGTTCATCAAAACTGGAAATCCCAAGGGCTCTGCAGCTGGTCATTGACCTTGTGCCAATGTGGCAAGGCTATTTTTTATGTTGTGGAATACTGGATGTTTTTAATTTCCCAGGGTGTGTATGCCCACTTGCTTCAGACACAGTGGGCCTTGAAGGACACTTAATCACAAACAGGCTTTAGACACCAATTAACCCTTGCTGTTCCCCTGGACTATTATTCTAATGCACATCGGCTTTACCTACAAGACAATTCCTAAAAGCAAACTCTAAATATCACTTTCTAGCCATCATTCAGTAGGACCAGGATTGAACCATCTAGGATTACTTATGAATGCTAATGCGTAAGAGTAGGAGGGAATTGGTTCTAAGTAAGAAACAGTCCACTGTTTTTGGAGGAATTTGAGGATTAATGCTGCTTAAGAAGTATTGAATCTAACCTGCGTTTCCTCTGTCACCAGACTAAAAGAAGCTATGGCCAACAGTAAAGAACAAGAGGCAAAGTACCAGGAGAGCCATCCAAATTTAAGGAAGCTAGACAATTTAGGTTCGTTTAACTTTTTATTTGGTATCTATCACAGTGGTAATGAGTGTACTGTGCATGGTTTAGAGCTGGATGTGTTTAGCCTTACCATAAGGATTTTCTATTCCATACAGATACTGGTAATAAAGAATGTAAATGCTTCAAAGATTTTGCATCTGTGTGGAAAAAGGAAGCAATGCCTGGGAATCTCACTGTTCTATGCCAGAGTGTATTTAAAACATGGTTCAGATTTGCTCTTTCTGAACAGTGCTACTGTAGATCACAAGCATGACTTTCTTACTGGTACAGATGTAAACCAAGGCTGATGTTGGGGGCAATAACTTATTCCCCCATGACAACATGTTGCCTTACGGTCTATCCCTTGTAGCATTTGCTCATCTCATCTAGATCCGAGTGGCTGTTGTCTTCTATATCCGAGTCTGCTTCCTAACTAGCTTTCTCTTTGGTTTTGAGAGAAAATATTTAAATTTTGTAGATCTACAAATAAAGCAACATTATACTTTAACTAGCTTAGTACAGACTGGTGCCCTAACAATAACAGAGTATATGAAGTAGTTGGATGTCTTGAATAAATTGGATTATAAATATAAGCATTTAAATGTTTTGACACGTGGTTCAAACTAGTGTTTGGCTGCTCTATTGTTAAGACTTGTAGGCATTTGTCAACAGACCAAATGCCTTTAATCTGTGCAGATGGTTAACAGTTGATTTACAACAAAGAGCCTTTCAGTGAATTAGCCAGCAAAATTGAGGGGTTTTTTAATACTTTTGTGGCCTCTTTTGTAGTAAACCTTACATTTCCTGACCGTGTTTTGAGGACTGTCCACCAGGGGGCACAGGCAGCTGTCAGGTGACTTGCCTTCTGGGGAGAACCCAATGGATTTAGCAGCTATGGCCTGCTTTTCTTCCTTTCCCAGTTACATAACAGGACTGCACAGTAGTTGCTGCTTTAATGTACTACTGGTGAATTCGTTTGTGGGGGTGGGTCCCTGCATATCTTAAAGCCAGTCCTCTTTACCGTGATTTTGGGTTGATTGTATTAGGTTTCAGTCTTAGGTTTCAGCCAACGGGTCACATGGTAACAAAGTATCTGTAAGTCAACCAGATTGATTATATTAGTATTTCTGCTGTCACTGAAATGTTAAAATGCAGAGTTAGAACTGATAATGAAAAGTTCTATACTTGTCTTATGTTTTTAACAGAGTGTGAAATCAGTGAGGCCAGTTCAGGTTATTCTGTCCAACCTGATATTTATCCAAAGAATCAACAAGTTCGTGCCTACCACCAGAAAATTGACAGCAACTTGGGTGAGTAAGCAACTGAAGTAATGTGTGTTAAACTGATTTTCACAGCTTGCTATTTTAAAGCCTGCACAAAATCTGAGCAGCAGGTTTTCAGCCAACTGTGACCCCAAAACTTGGCATTTAGTTCATCTGTAGAGCTTTGTCTGCACCATCTCTCTTTTAAAAGCTCCGTCATGTTTAATCTGCTGGTGGGTCTGGCTACCTTTTTGTAATTAAGCCCCGACGTGTTTTCCACATCATGTCAACTTAGTAGCCCAATGCTGGACTAAAAGCATCTTGACCAGATGGTATAGTGCTGTGGAACAACTGATTATTGCAACTCACAGAGGTTAGTAATAGATCTGACTTAGAAGAGCATTTCATATAAAGCCAGCTAGTGCTCAAAGCTGGGTTGGATTGTAGAAACAGTCTAAAAAATATGGAAGCTGACATCTGTATGGAGGTGTTTCTGCCTAGGTCTCCATATTGGCTGTTCCCCATGTTCCTACAGCTTTAATTTCAACATGAGGTTTCACTGTAAGACTAAAATGATTGAGAGAGTTAGTGAATTGCTCCTGAGAAGTTTTTTGTTTCTTTTTTTTTTTTAAAGAAAGCCACATTACATCTGAAATCTAATTGGTTTTTAATGAAAAATTCTCACTTTTCCTAACTTAGAGAAGGTCACGGTATCCCCGAGCTAGTCAAAAATACATGATGATCTTTTCAGTTGCTCAAAAATGCCAAATACGCAGGCGTTCTTACGCAACCTTCTTTCAAGGGAAGGGAACAGCAGGGCCAAGGAAGTGGTTCCAGCTATGCTGAAAAAGCACATTAGTTGGCTTTTACTGCTAAAAGTATCCATGAAGAAACATTGACTCATGTTAGCATTAGAAATAAGAACCCTGTACTTCACACTTACCTAGATCGTACCATTTCATTTTGCATAGTATGTTTGAATTTATATGACTTGTAATTAAACCTCAAAGATGAAAACAGTGACCTATTTAGATTCCAAAGACTTCACAAATGTTTAAAACATGAGTGTTTGAATTCTGGAAAGAATGGAAAAAGCAGCAGGAAAAACCTCAATGTGTGGATTTTCTGTATCTCTCCATGTACTGGTACTCTTAAGATAGCACTGTCCTAATTCATTCTAATTCAATGGCTGTTAGTATACACAAAGAGCCTTTGTACAGAGTATGTCCTCCTCCTGTCTGGCCTGGAAAGAAGTTGAAAGAAGCCAAATGCACCAGGGATAAAAGGGGATGCTGAGTCCAAAGAGTTGAGGGAGATAAAGCTGTTTTATTTCTAGCCCATCTCATGCATATCTTGTTAGCTTCCAAAGCCTTAGCACTAACCAATCGGGTAATAAATCATTTCCAGTCATTTCGAGAATGTATCCTAGGACATAGGAAAGAGTATAGATATCTTTGTCTGAAGTGAACAATTAGCTATTTAATTTTGTGGTATTTTGAGTATGTTCTTGACACTAAATGTCACGTTAAAGAACAACAGATGATAGGGCATGGAATAGTTAAAGGGGAAAACAATTCTTAAAAAATGCAGGGAGAATATTGTAGTTCAGGGGTAGGCACATTTTTCTGGCTGCAGGCCAGAATGACCCACCCCTGGTCAGATGCAAGCAGGTAGGTGCTAGGACTTGGCCACCACCAGCACTGATCCCTATGGCAGCATGGGGAAAGCGCCTGCAGCCAAAGCCCTCCACCACCAAATGCCGCCAGAGCCCCACATTTCTGGACGATCCAGCCTGTGGGTGGTAGGTTACTGATATATTTAAAGTAAAACAACGTTTAGTTTTATAAAGGCTAAATATTAATAATATTTTCATGGTTCACAGTGTACTTACAACAAAGAAACCAGTCTCTGGTGTGAATACACTAGAAGAGTTGGAACATTTGTATTTCTAGTACTATGAAAAATAGATCTAAGCAGTTGTCACTGACATCTTTTAATATCAAGTTTTTTTGGGGGGGGTGGGGTTTGACTATCTCTGTTAGAATGGCATGCTTCCCAGTCTTTCAACCTTCAAACTCCCTCTCTCCATTGACAGATGAGATGTCCTCGGGGCTGAGCCGCCTGAAAAACCTAGCCCTGGGTCTACAGACAGAAATTGATGAACAGGACACCATTCTTGACCGGTTAACCCAAAAAGTTGAGACTCTGGATGTCAATATTACCAGCACTGAAAGAAAAGTCCGACACCTTTAAAAACTTCACAGAAATTCTTTGTGTAGTATGTGATCCTGGATGGTTCATCTTGCCAGATTTCTTTAAAAAGAAAAAAAAAATCTTGGACAATTCCCATTTCTTTCTCTGGTATGTTAGTGACTTAGCTATCATTAAAATGGCATAATCTTGAGTGAACCATCATATTTAACACACTTCTTCTTAGTGAACACATAAAAGGTCACTCTGGGCAACACATCTTTTTGCAGCTGGCTTAAGGGTAAAGGCCTTAGTGCTAGATGCCCTGCTTGGGTGTATTAGTGTGTCACATGTAGTTTTTCTTCTTACTCTGTGGCCAGGGACGTTTTTGCCTTACTTTTTGCAAAGAAAAGTATAGTGTGTTCTGCCCATTTTAGAACAAATGTTGCTAATTTTAAAAGTTTACTCTATTTTGAATGCTGAAAATGCAGCTTTTGAGTTGCAAGAATTAACTCTAAATATTTTCCTCTGACACTTCAGTGGATACTTCTGAGATCCTTAACCAACAATCTGTTTGACAAAAGTTATAAAATGTCAGGTGTGGCATGCAGTTATGCTGTCTTTAAGCTGTGTTGATCTCCCTTTTGCCAAAGAGAGAGGTTTAACAGGCTCACTTTGGTAGCGTTGAGATAATAGCCAAATGTTAATTTTTAACCAAGAAAGGCCCTAGTCTAGTAAAAATTACTGTGTAAAGGTACATGCCTTTGTTAACATTTGCAGAACAGGGCCCAAAAAAATTTGCTCTGAAAGCCTCCCTTTTTGAGATTGCTGCATGCTCCTTTGTATGAGCTACTTTTTCCCAGGTGACCCAGTAGGTGATTATCCGATATACAAGATCTCTCTTCCAAATGGAGATTCAGACCTGTGTGGCACAAGCAGCTTGCTGACTACCATTTACATTTTTTAAAGTTTTAAAGTGAAATGGGGGGGGGGTGGGGGGGGGGGGGCTGGTCCTTCTTTT